GCTGTTCTCTATCGATCCCAACCCTGACCACAGATCCACCACAGGACTTCTTCCCGCTCCATCCCCTTTCTATCCCCGATAAAACATCCTGGATCCACCCCTGATTTTCATTTATTAGAAAATGCATAACATTTATGCGGTAAGGCTACTAAAATGCTACCAGATCAATAGGTAGTTGTCCTACATAGTAATCAAGCTATTTGGTGCATTTTAACGGTCAAATAAAGATTATTAATATAATTGTCATCATAAGGGGCTGTCTCTTATACACATCTTCTCTTTAGCACACGCAGTCTAATAGAGTGGGCTACCGCGGGTGGTATGCGATGTGGAATAGGGCCTATTTGGATTTTACTAAAAGAGCTATCGTAATCGTCCAAAGTGATCTTTCTCTGGACCCGTTCTCGGCGTTGCTATTTTGAGTTATTCTTATAGTATTTTTATACTCTCCACCAAATTATTGTTCATCAGTTTTGGGAATTTCTTCAGTCCACGAGAAGTTTCCTATTCATATAATTCATCATTAATAGTTCATTTGTGCCCTTTGAACTGTCAATATCAATGTTCAACTGGTGCAGGTAGGCGGGACTGAAAACGATCAATGGAATTGCTGAGATAACAGTCACTTGCATTCCTATCGTATTATTCCATATTTGGAGGTGTGACGTCAATCAGGCTCTCTCGCATAGGATCAACTTTGTTCTAAGCGCCCGTGTTGAGTCTATTCTCAAGATGATCGTATGCGAAAATATGCAAGCAAAAATGCGTATTTGTAGTGTTCGGTTTGCGGTTAGGTGGAATACTTCCTGCAGACGAATGATTCTATGTAAAATACAATCGTTCTGTTGTTGATGGATCTAAAATGCCACCACTGTCAATACCACAAACATTGATTGTTCATCTGTGTAGGCCTAAAAACATCGTAGGCCTGTTATTAATATCATCGTCAAAATCAACACGCTAAATTTATTTTAATGTAGGAATGGCCTCAAAATATGTATGGTCGGTCTTATACCGTTAAATTTACTGTCCTTTATTCATTATATTTTGTTGTACCTGTTTTTAATGCCGAATATAAAGAAAGAAATCAAATCGAAAATAAAACAGGTAATTCGCAAGACCAATCATAGTGGGGCTGCTGAAGTATTATGGACCCTCAAACTATAACTTTCCTCCCTGGGGCCCCTCTATTTTTAATTGATGGATTCGCCACTGCTATCATTCAGAGAACTTGGCGTTTGTCTTGTGATAGCCCGAATAAGAGGACGAGAGACATGTCTTTTTACCTTATACATTAAAATTTGATATTTTGAGAACTGGTACTGTAAGAAAAATACTTTAAATGACAATAGCAAATCACTCAGGTAAACGTTGTATATAAAAATATATATAACATCTGATGTCAACCAGTAACACGTTGAATATAATTGTCCTATTAATTTCATACTCATCACCATTCCAGTTTACTCATCAAAATAACAACTCAGGTTAAATAAAACAATATACAGTATTTTAGTTCACCTACGTTACACATAGGCCTATCGAATTGAGTTCTAAAACTTACCAAAAGGTATTGACCATGAAACGTATGGTTTTGGTTTTATCAAAATCGTTATAGTGCCCTCTATAGGTACATTGTGGTTTCTACTTTTTCTCCCCAAACGGTCTAATTTTTTGTTGTCTATTCCATGGAGGAATGGTCTAACACTCTAACTTACTGCAACAGCTCTATCGATAGCATTTTTCTTCTCATACACAGCATCATTTAAGTTCATCATCGCATCCTCGAGGTCCAAAACCAAGCCTCGGTTTACTGCTTCCGAGTCGGCAAGCTCTTGGGAAGTTTACATCGAAAGAACAAGACGATACAAAAGTGATCAAAGTGCGAACTCCATGGAACTCATTGTTGTTAACGTTAATGCGGATAATGCATTTTTGGTATGGTATCAGAAAGTTTAACATATTTCGTGCAAAATTAAAACATAATTTCAAGGGATTACCATGAGTTGTTTTTGGGATAGAAAATACAAGATTTTTTCCTGATAAAGTGGATCAAGACACCGTAGAGGCCATATTAATATATAGAATATTAAAATGATTAAAAAAACACTGCAATTTGAAAGAGGTTTTTTTTTTAAAGATAATTTATTAGAATAATAGACAATTGAAAAAAAATTAACAAAAACTGTTTGAACATAGGCCTAATCATTTAGTCGTCACGCCATCGAATTCCACGCAGTTCGCAATGATACACACTTGCAGTGGCTACGAGCTGCAACTTTTCGCTTGAGGGCGTTAGACTACTTGTAGAAGCGATGAAAAGGTGAGCAGAGCATAAGTAGGTACAGGTATACAAAAGAATTCGGAAGCAACCGAGACAAAGAATTAAAATCTGAGAAAGTAGTAGGAACTGCGAATAAACAAATATAGGCATACTGAGAAACAGGGGGATAGAGTCGTAAATAAGAAGGAAGATCAGAAACGTGAAATAGCTGGAAGAAACGATTAAATTGTGAGAAAATAAAGTCGTAAAATACGGATGGAGATTCAAGACAAAGTGAAAAAAAGAAGAATGAGTAACAGATCTAAACAACGAGGACACTGCGATTTGAAACTAGATTAAGAAAACATAGGCGTAAAGAATATAACCATATAAGAAGAAATAGGCAGGCTTACAATCAGTGGTGGATCCAGTGGGT